CTTCTTCTTCTTCTTCTTCTTCTTCTTCTTCTTCTTCTTCTTCTTCTCCTCCTCCTCCTCCTCTTCTTCCTCCTCCTCCTCCCTATCCGTCATTGGATGTTGGTGATTATGTTGGCGATCCTATTTTTATCAACAGTCACATGAAAAAGGGCTGCTGAGTTTTGTCCAAACCGGTCCCTTCGATTTTGAAATCACAATGTTCTTCTTCTGCCTGGACGTTGTTTGCCTTCGATCTTTCCTTGGAGGATTAAGTGAAGGATGCCGTATTTTTCCAGGTGTCGTATCCCATGTCCAAAATATTCTAAGTTTTGTTTTTTTTAGTGGTTTTGATGATTTCCCTTGGCTTTCCTAGGCACTTATCACCTCCTCCTTTCTGATTTTGTCAACCCAACTTATACATAACAGCCGCCTGCAAATCCATATTTCAAATGCTTCTAATCTCTTCAAGGAACCTCAAAACATTTATTCCAACAGGAAAAAACATCTTCTGCAAACAATTCTTGATGCCTGCAATAAACTTTCTCATTAGTGTCTGTTGCCAGGAAATCGATTTTAAGCTGTTCTTTTTTTATTATTAATTTGGTCGCTTATTCATACGATATGCTTTTATTTTTCTTTGTATGGTGCGTAGAGCATTAAAAACCAAGCCATTTTTATTAATATTTTAGTAGGGAATATATAGAAAGAAAAATAGGGCCACTTACGTGATAAGCATAGACTGGTTTTCTCGATCTACGGAGGAAGAGAGAAAGTGAACACTGGATAATCTGTTTTTTTCCCCTAAATCCCATGGAATTGATCAATAGCTAATTATCCAAGTAAACTCTTGAGAAGCATGAGCCTTAGGGATGGAGGTGGCTGGCCCTTGCTTGATTATAAAATTTGGGCTGGTATCCTTGTCTTTGTTTAAACAGAACAAGAGACAAAGGACCTTTACAGAACAATAGAATAAGAGTTGCAAAGGTCCTTGGAGGTCTTCTAGTCTAACCCTGGTACCTTTGGCTTTGTATAAATGGGACAAGGGACAAAAAGAGGACCTTTATAGAATAACTAGCTCTCTACCCGTGCTTCGTGACAAAACTATGTGGTCGGGTTTAGATTTGGGGCAGGAAAATAGGGCGGGCGGGGAATCTGCCTCCGCCTACCAGCATCCGTCAGTATTTATCTGGCTAGCGTCCTGTCAGTGTGTGAGAGCTGAGGTCTGTTTGGAGACTGAAAGGGTATTTGCTGCGTGAGCAATAAGGAGACAGCAAGGAGCCTGGGCATGGCTTAGCTCAACTGTTCTGTACTAAAGCTGCTTGGTGCTCTGAAACTGAAACTCCTCTCCTCTGCTTGTGTTTTGCCTTTGGAAGAGATTTCTTTTCAGGTAGGGAGGGGGAGTAGAACTCTTTGGCATCAGAGAATAATAATAATAATAATAATAATAATAATAATAATAATAATAATAATAATGGAAATACTCTAAATGTTCTGATGGTCACTTCAAAAAATCCTTTCTTAGTGAGCACCTAGAAGCCAAGAGGAACATACAGGCCAAATCTCAAGTTTGTAGGCTTTACGGTTCTGGAGATTTCGTGATGATATGTGAAGGGTATTTCGCGATAGATGATAGATAGATAGATAGATAGATAGATAGATAGATAGATAGTAGATAGATAGATCCATAGAAGATAGATAGATAGATAGATAGATAGATAGATAGATAGATAGATAGATAGAAGATAGATAGATAGAAGATAGATAGATAGATAGAAGATAGATAGACAGACAGACAGACAGACTAACAGCAATGGATGGGAACCTGGAGGTCATTTTGTCCAACCTGGAAGCAGGAGAACCTTTGCCATGGCAGACAAATGGTTTTCCAATCTCTTCCTAAACATCTCCAGTGTTGGATCATCCACAACTTCTGGAGGCAAGTTATTCCACTGGGTAATATGTTCTCCGAGTTAGGAAGTTTCTCCTTTAGATTCCTTCTCTCCTGGATGAATTTCCGCCCATTGCTTCTTCTCCTGCCTTCAGGTACTTTGGAAAACAGGCTGGCCACCCTATCCTCTTTGTGGCAGCCCCTCCGATATGAGAAGGCTGCTATTATGCCTTTCCCAGCCCTTCTTTTCGCTAAGCTAGACATGCCCAGATTCCTGCAACCGTTAAAGGACCTTTGAGGATCTTCTCAGCACTCACCCATAAGCATGTCGTGGTAGGCGTTGTCTGAGATGGAGAAAAGGTGAGGAGGCACCTCTGTACGCTTCTTACCCTTGAACATCTGGGCCACACGGCCCCCGTAAATGGGTAGCCACTTGTAAGGGTTGATGGTGACACAGAAGAGGCCAGAATATGTCTGAGGAGGAGAACAAGGCAGACAAGATCAGCTTCCAATCACATTTCAGCATGGTCTCGTTTAAAGAGCAGGATGACCCGACTCCGAGTCTCATCCATAAGTCTAGGAGTAACCATTACGGAGTTTAATTCCCCAGTGAATTTGCTTTATCTCTTAGTGCATGTCGGGGTTCGCCGGCAACCTGTGCAGACGGCAGCGGAATCGGACAGTGGGAAAGAACGGGGACCAGTCCAAGAGTCTAAGGAGGACTCGGATGAGGGTCCTGCATCCGATGCAGAGAGGGGGCCAGGGCCATCCGGGAGTGGGGTGCTGACTCCAAAGCCTCCAGAACCTGATAGCAGCGAGGCAGAGGAACAAGGGGAGCCTCTTCCCAGTGTGTGTGTATGCACAGAGCTTCTAGAAGGCGACAGCAGCTGAGACAAAAGGGGCGGCTTGGGAGTAAGGCTGGGAGGTGATTGCCCCTCCAGTAAGGTATAAAGGAGGTGCAAAGGTAGAGAAACCTTTGCAGGAAGCAACGTTGTTCGCTCTGTTCGGATTAAACCTTGAAGCTCTGTGTGGACTTAGTACTCTGTTTGGCTTTTTACAGTTCATTTGGTACTTTGGTTGTCGGCAGCCATTCAAAGGAGAGAAAGGTGGGTGCTTATCTCGAGGAACTGTTTGGGACTCATTATGGGCTGGGAATGAACATAATTCCCAGCCATTGAAATCAAACAAGAGTTGTTTGGACTAAGCATGTGCTTGATTAGGGTCTCAGGAAGCCTTGGTCAGAAGAGTGCAAGGGTCTGCAACCTTAAACACTCCAAAAGCCATACTTCCTGTTGTTAAGTGAGATATTTTTAAGGGAGTTTTACTCCGTTTGATGACTTTTCTTGCCACTGTTGTTAAGTGAATCACTGCCGGTGACAAGTTAGTCATCTGGTTGTTAAGCGAATCTGGCTTCCTCAATGACTTGCCTTGTCACAAGGTCGCAAAAAGGGGATCGCATGACCTTGGGACACAGCGACCGTCATAAGTAACGAGTCAGTTGCCGAGCATCTGAATTGTGACCCCATGATCCCAGGGATGCTGCAAAGGTCATAAGTGTGAAAAACGGTCACGTCAGTTTTTCCCCCCAGTGCCGCTGTAACTTCGAACTATTGTAAGTCAAGGACTGCCTGTCGTTGCCCAACTGTGCTGCAGAGTTTTGGTAACATCGGACACTGTTTTAATATCTATTGTTTTTCGTCCTGCTCTCTGGTGCAGGACAAGAAACCATGAATATCTCCCAATATTCAAATATAAAAATTTTAACATTTCTTTTTTTAAAAAAAAGAAACAAGAGTCATCTTCTTTTAACGACCCCATAATCCCCTGAGGGGTGGAGTCTGTGCAACTGAATGGAGCGGAGTGTTTACTGGCCAGATGCCCTTCCTGTTGCCGATGGGGAGTTTTTTCAGCAGATATATCCGCACTGTGCCCAAAGGGAGAAATAACTGTGTCTGCCTAGGGTCGAACTCACAGCCTCCTGATTGTGAGGCCACCACACCACACACACACACACACAGAAACAAGAATATCTCCAAAATATCTCTCCCCCTCCCTCCGAACGAAAGATGGTCCTAACCATCTCCAGGGGGTGCGTTTCCAAGCAATTCAAACGCTTCTACCCATTTTCTCCACTTACATAGATCCTCATCATAACGTAACGCTGCCGGAGGTTATCCAGGACGCTGGCTTCATTCAAGAAAGTCATATTTGCCATATCGTTGACCTGGTAGAACTTGGGTGGGTTCATCTGCTGGACATCGTCCTTCTTGACGGTGACTGTCTAAGGGGTGGTGGTAAAAAAACAAACAGCTGTGAGCCTACCAGGGATATTCTGGGGTCACACCACCCTTAAATTCACCAATGTGGAAACTCATTGTTCCTTTCTCTCTCCCGAAGATAAGAAATAGTGGGTTTAAAAGATAAGGAAGTTGATTCTGGTGAGGCACCAGGAAGAAGGTCCCTAACAATAAAGACTGTTTGACAGTAGAATAGTCTACTTTGAGAGATGGCGAACTCTCTGCAGATCAACAGATCCTGGAAGACCATCTGTCAAAGTTACTGTAATAGTGGATTCGTGCACTGGCAAGAGGTTAGATTAGATACTGTCAGGATCCTAACTATTATCCATATTCTACTGTGATTAATACGTGGAAACTTCAGCTATTAGGCACTCCATGCAATGTTCAAAACACGTCCTATCTCATCTTCCCTGCCCCTTGATTTGAGTGATCCTGCCAGGTCCCAACTTAAGAGACATACAAAGTCCAAGTGGACTTTTCCCAGTCTATCGATTTACCTGATTGGTCACCGTCTTCACCGTGACTTGTGTATCAGTTTCCGACTGGATCTCTCCAGCCAGGAAACCTTCCTTCTCGTCCTTTACCCAACAGGACTTCTTGATGTCGTACGGTTTGCTCATTGCTTCAATTTTCTCCTTCTCGCTGGGAGCCAAGAAAGGCATGGGGTCAACATCATCCCCACATTCTCCTTTGTACCCACCAGGCATGTTGGCTTGGATTCAGGCGCAGGATGGATCCAGAAAGGAAGAAAAGCTTGAGGGAAGAGTGCAACCCACAAAGTTCCTGGAAGAGAATGGGAAACTGTCTTAAGATATACATCTATCCATCCATCCATCCATCCATCCATCCATCCATCCAATCCCAGCTCTGTCTCTTATCCCTCCTGTCCTGTTCCCATGCCAAAGTCCCAACCAGGAGTACCTCTTGAAGAACCAAGACCGAAAAATGCTTTTAGATGCTGACTGGCTGGTGTCTTTTATACCATCTGATGTGTCTTGAGCTATCATTTTCTCCTAGTAAGTGCCAAGGACTTTATCAACAGAAAGCTCATTGGTCCAGGATTTTTTCTCCCTTAGGAGAGATCAAATAAAGCAAGAACTTCTTGGGAGCTTCTCCTTCCTGTCTGTCTCCTTTTAGGGCATCTTGTGGACTTCTCTTTGCCACTCAAGGGACTGGAGAAGTCCAAAATAGACTCTCCTGCCTTGCAGATTTTTCTTTTCAAGACAACCCTTTGGTTGTTACTTCAATTTAAAGCAGGCTTCTCATTCAAGCAGGCAACCCATTTCTCCTGAGGCCTAGCCCAACTTGGTGGAATCCGGGAATAGCTTTCATGCCAAATGTATGAGCTGGGGTTTTTTTTTTTTGGTTTTGTTTCTGTCAAACTGAATTGGGGGACTTTCTTATAATATAGGAGTCTCCCAACTTGGCAACTTTAAGACTTGTGGACTTCAACTCCCAGAATTCTTCAGCTAGCCATGCTGGTTGGGGAAATCTGGGAGTTGAAGTCCACAAGTCTTAACAGAAAACAGATAATCAGAATTGCAAGGGACCTTGTAGGTCATCTAGTCCAACCCTCCGTCCAAGCGAGAGACCCTACACCATTTTTGACAGATGGCAGTCCAGTCTCTTCTTGAAAGCTCCCACAAATTCCGAAGGCAACTTCTGTCCATGGGTTGATTGTTCTCACTGTCAGAAAATTCCTCCTTATTTCCAGGTTGAATCTCTCCTTGTTCAGTTTCCATCCATTATTCCTTGTTTGGCCTTCGGGTGCTTTAGAAAATAGCTTGACCCCTTCCTCCTCTCTGGGGCAGCCCCTCAAATATTGGAAGACCTCCATCCTGTCTCCCCTGGTCCTTCTCTTCACCAGACTAGCCAAGCCCAATTCCTGCAACCGTTCTTCATATGTTTTAGCCTCCAGCATCCTGGTTGCTCTTCTCTGCACTCTTTCTAGAGTCTCAACATCTTTTTTATAATGTGGTGACCAAAACTGGATGCAGTCTTAAAGTTGCCAAGTTTGGAGACTCCTGTTATAATGCAACCAGGAAAAAAAAAATAAACCAATGATTTAACATGATTTGTTGCTCTCTAGATCATGGCTGAAGCCTTAGGTGGATTTACTCAGAAATACTCTTTTTTTCCACCCCGCTTGGGCCTGCCAAATTTTTTTTTCCTTTTAATCCCTCAGAAGCAGGTGGCTGTAGTAATAAAAAAAAAAAAACCATAACTTTTCAGCCCCAAGAGTGGGGTTGTAAGACCTTTTTTTGTGTAGTATAATTCTGGTTGGGGAATTTGGGGAGTTGGAAGTCCTCCACACCCCTTGGAGCAGGGCCCCCCCCAAACGTGGCAACTTTAAGACTTGTGGACTTCAACTCCTAGAATTCCCTAACCTGGAGAATTCTGAGAGTTGAAGTCCACAAGTCTTAAAGTTGCCACGTTTGGAGACCTCTGCCTTAGAGTTACTCAAGTGAAGGGCTACTGGCCTATGTGGTTCTACTCAAAGGTCAGTTTCCTTGAAGTCCAGCAGGCTGACCCCAGAGGAATGGGTGCAACCACAGAGAATAAGTTGTGGGAAAGAGAGAAAGGCTCAGGTGGAGGGAGAGCTGAAAACACAGACCTGCTCTTGGTCCCTGTTAAAAGGAACTGGGCCACGGAGTCACCCACACACCCCACCTAAATAATTCTCCAAGGTGCAGAGAGTAAATATTTATTTAGCATGGGAGAACAGTTAATATTTATTTTGTGGTGTGATGTTGTTACTCTGAAGTACTTCTGGGGGCTGGAAGGAGCATGTGGCAGTCAAGGTGAAAGGGGGTTGGGTAGCAGGAGAACAAAATCCTACATTTCTCTGCCTGTCTGTATGTCTTCCATAATCTTTCTTCCTTCTACTTTTCTTTTCTTCCTTTTCCATCTTCCTTCCTTCCTCCTCTCCTTTGCTTTCCTCCTTCCCTTCCTTTTCCTTCTTTTCCATCATCTTCCTTCCTTCCTTCCTCTTTCCTTTCTTCTCCATCTTCCTTCCTCCTTTCCTTTCCTTCCCTCCTCCCCTCTTTTCCTTCCTTTCTTTTCCTCCTTTCCTTTCCTCCCCTCCTCCCCTCTTTTCCTTCCTTTCTTTTCCTTCTTTCCTTTTCTTTCTTTTCCATCAACTTCCTTTTTTCTTCCTTTTCCTTTTTCCATTGTTTTTCCTTTCTCCCCGTTGTCTCTCCTCTCCTTTCCCTTTCTTTCCTTTCCCTTCCTTTCCTTTCCTTTCTTTTCCATCATCTTCTATCCTTCCTCTTTTCCTCTTCTTAGATTTCCTTCCCTTTCCATCATCTCCCCATCCCCCCCCCCACAAAAGTCATGCCTTCCACAATTCTCCCTCCTTCCCCCTTCAGCCCAGGCTGAGAGAAAGATGGGGGGTGGGTGGGCTGGGCTCTTCTGCTTGGCAGGTGCTTTCTTAGCCCCTAAACAAATACCAAGGAAGGCCGAGGCTTCTATTTTGATGGGGCAAAGATCATTCCCAGCTGCTGCTACCCGTTCACGCTATTCCCGCCGGGTTTCCAGCCACAGATTGAGCTGGGCTTTGGTCCAAAGAAGGACAAAACACTTATCTAAACTTCTATTTTGAGAGATGGTTGATCCATGCTAAGAAAGTCTGGAATTGCCCGGGCAACAGTGTGTTGTTATAATTTGCAGAAAAACAGATGATGGGTTGGGAAAGAAATGAGTCCAACTTGCTGAGGGAAAAGCCTCTTTTTTTCCTCCTCCTCCTCCTCCTCCTCCTTCAAAATTGCTCTTCTGAAATTATTTTGAGAGAAGGCAATGTAGCACCTGTAATATCCACATTTCCCTCCTTGGTGTCAGTTAAGCTGGAGACTTGGTTTAAACCACATGTCTGCTAACACCTGTTCACACCCCTTGCTAATTCACAATGAACTGAGATCCTGGTTTCACCAATTCAGCCAGTTATTGAGGCTTGCATGGAAATAGTGACTCCCTGAATTGGCTGTGACTCAACACACGTATTCAGAGTCAATCCGTTGGGCTGCTCTTTGGAGAAAGGATTTAATCAATTGCCCTGGGCGATCAATGTTCATTCAGGGGTCCTTGGTGCTCTCTGAGCTAATTTCTTCCAGGGGTGAGCGTGCCAATCAACGCTGCTCTGCAACTTTTTAACCATCACAGTCTTGATAAGCAACAATTCACGCGTGCAAAATAAATAAATAAATAAGTAAGTAAGCAAGCAAGCAAGTTAGTTAGTTACCGGTCCTGCGCAGGCGCAGTGGGAATCCACTCGCCCGCATTTCTTTTCGCTGAGGCTTGTGTCAACTCAAAACCCTGAAAAGGGGCGGAGCTTCTTGGAGGTGTGACCCAATCAAAAGACGAGGATGGGTGATTGACCCATTTCCCGGGAAATTTAAGTATTTTTCAGAGCGGCTGCTGTTACACAGTTGTAAAAGCATTTTGTACCAGGAGACAGTGAGTAGCCGGGTTGTAATTTGTTTTTTTCTTTGCATTCCCAGGAACAGAGGCTTATAAATGTATTCAATTTTATATCCAAGACATGTTATTCATTCTGGGTTTTTTTTTTTGCCTATGCAAATGTTACTCAGTAATAATTAAATGAAGGGAAGGTTTAGTTTGTATATAATTCTGAGGGTTTTTTTTTTATCCAGTGGCTCTCAATGGTTGTGTTTAAGCTGCATGCTTAACCTGGTTATTATGTTTTTATTTCTATTCCCACCTGTATTTTTTATAAAGAGCTCAGAGTGGCAAATGTACTTAATACTCCTTCTGCCTCCTCTTTTCCCCACAACAACCTTGTGAGGTAGGTTGGGCTGAGAGAGAGAGGGACTGGCCCAAAGTCTCCCAGCCAATTTTCATGCCCAGGTAGGATTAGAACTTGTGGCTCTCCCATTTTCTAGCCTGGTGCTTTAACTGCTAGACCAAACTGGCTCTTGAATATTAAGTTAACCCATAATTAACAATTAACCCATGCATGGAGCTTTAGACTGCAATAATTAGGAGGCCTTGCTTCACCAAACATGTTAGAGGAAAACTCACCTGCTGAAGGTGAAAAATTAAGAAAACTTAGTGTCTCTTGCCAATAAGACTTGGTGGGCTTGTAACTGACTTGTTCAAATGTTAGTACAACGCCTGTCTTCAAGTCTGTTTTAAAGTAATTTCTGCAGCTCTTGGTGGGATAGAATTTGTTTTTTTCCAAGGTGCTATGAGTTTGGCCTAGATTGAAACCAAACCAACCTGCCCTGCCTTTTAAAATCTCCTTTCTCTGCCTTGACCAATGCACCTTGGCCTCAGCCCAAAAGTGAATTTGGGAAAACAAAGAACTCTCTTTTCCATTAAAAATGAATTTGGGGTGAATTATAAATGCTATCAAATCTATTAGGAGAATCTTATTGGGCAAGCAGAACACATTGTACTGACTGGTGGGGTTAAGCTCCTGAGTCAACTATTTTTCTGTTCACCTAGGTGTAAGGAGACATACCTGGCCAACCTGTCTGGGCTTTGCAGGACGTGGGTCATGTCTACCACAAAGGAGCAAGATGAACACATGAGGAAATTCAAAAACAAAGGAAAAGATATTGCAGTAAGTACTTACCAAGCCCAGTGGGTCCTTTTTAAATCCGTAATTGGAGTCTTAGTGGACAATCAGCTAAATATGAGCCAGCAGTGTGCAGCAGCAGCCAAAAAAGCTAATGCAATCCTAAGTTGTATTAACAGAGGGATACAATCGAGATCAAGGGAGGTACTAATACCACTCCATAAAGCCTTAGTAAGACCACACCTAGAGTACCTCATCCAGTTTTGGTCACCACACTATAAAAAATATGTTGAGACTCTGGAAAGAGGGCAGAGAAGAACAACCAGGATGATGAGAGGACTGGAGACTAAAACATGAAGAACGGTTGCAGGAACTAGGCATGGCTAGTCTAGCGAAGAGAAGGACCAGACTTCCAATATTTGAGGGAGGGGCTGCCCCAGAGAGGAGGAAGGGGTCAAGCTATTTTCTAAAGCACCCGAAGGCCAGACAAGGAATAATAGATGGAAACTGAACAAGGAGAGATTCAACCTGAAAATAAGGAGGAATTTTCTGACAGTGAGAACAATCAATCAATGGAACAGAAGTTGCCCTCGGAAGTTGTGGGAACTTCATCCCTGGAGACTTTCAAGAAGAGATTGGACTGCCATTTGTCAGAAATGGCGTAGGGTCTCCCGCTTGAGCGGGGGGGTTGGACTAGATGATCTATAAGGTCCTTTCCAACTCTGATTATTTGTTAAATTATCTGTTAACGCTCGACTCTCTTCCTTGGTAGGAAATCCGTAGACGAAAAATTGAAGTCAGAGTTGAACTTCGCAAAGCAAGGAAAGATGAACAGATTTTGAAGCGAAGGAACATCTGTTTTTCGGCTGAATCCAGCCTGTCTCCCGAGAAAGATGAGAAGAACATGGTATGCGTGGGTGGTAGTAGTAGTAGCAGCAGCAGCAGCGTGATAAGGAGAAATGCTCCATAGTAAAACTCATTTTTACCTCCCTCTGTAGATCTTAGCCCAAGAATATATTATATCTCGTTACAAATTTCATTTTCTATCGCAGCTCTCTCCCACCTTTTCTGTTTAAATGCTGAGGATTGCAAGGTTCAGAAATCCAAGGTTCATTTGTATTGGTTGTGAATTCTGCATTTGTAATTCTCACACATCTGAAAGGAGCCTGGTTTTATAAGGACCTTTTCACACCTGTTGACTGTTCACACTTGTTGACTGAACATGAGAAAGTTGGAAAACAGACCATTACCAAGAGCCATATTATCAGGCATAGAATCAAGATTATGTGAAGTATTAATGCCCCTTTATAAAACCCAAGTACAGAGGTCTCCAAACTTGGCCACTTTAAGACTTGTGGACTACAACTCCCAGAATTCCAACTGGCTGAGGAATTCTGGGAGTTGTAGTCCACAAGTCTTAAAGTTGCCAAGTTTGGGGACCCCTGCTCTAGTAAGACCCCCACCTGGAATACTGCAATCAATTTTGGTCACCAGTCTACAAAAAAAGATGTTGAGACTTTAGAAAAAGGGCAGAGAAGAGCAACTAAGAGGATCAAAGGCCTGGAGACTAAAACACATGAACAGCTGAAGGATTTGGGTTTGGGTAGTCTATAGAAAAGAATTAGGAGTGACATGATAGCAGTCTTCCAGTACTGAAGGGGCTGCCCCAAAGAATAGGGGGTCAAATTATTCTCCAAAACACCAGAGGGCCAATAAGAAACAATGGATGGAAACTAATCCAAGAGAGAAAAAAAACTGGAATTAAGGAGAAATTTCCGAACCGGGAGGACAATTAACCAGTGGAACAGTTTGCCACCAGAAATCGTGGGTGCTCTATCACTGAAGGTTTTGATGAAGAGGCTGGACAGTCACTTAACTGAAATAGTATAGGTTCTTCTGCTTGGGTAGGGGGGCTGGACTAGGAGATTTCCAAGATCCTTTCTAGCTCTATTCTAAGACATGAGGACTCTGTCATGCTTGGGTCTTGTGGCATAGTAAACTATGATATGGGTTATTGGGGGCTTAGTGTGAATAGGTGTAAACCATGTATTGACCGGAAAATGAAGTTCTTGGCTGTTGGTAGTCCGATACGTGGCATGGCCGGAAGCATCTGTATCCTGGTGATCTCTTTCTGAAAAATCCTTTTGCTTCCCCGCTGCAGGTTACTCAGATCTCTTTGATAGATGTGGTTGAATTGATCCAGTCGGATGATCTATTTCTTCAGCTGAAGGCGACCCAGGCAGTCCGGTATGTGAAAGCCCATGAGTTGTGTCCCCCCATCAATCAATCGCAGTTGCCATTGGTTAGTTCAGTAACTGGGTTCTCGGGCGTAGGAGAAGAACAGGAGATCAAAGAGGCTCCAGCCAAGGGAGGTCACTAGGTTTCTACAGGAGCTCAACAGATAGCTCAAGGCTGCAGGACCATAACTTCCACCTAAGGGTGGTCGGTACAATCCTGATAGAGTGATCCAATGTGAAAGGTGATCTAAGCTGTCAATCCCCATGTTCTCCTGCCTCTGAGAACCATACTACCTGAGACTTCTCAGAAAACAACAGAATGAAAAACTGCTGGTGACCTTCTACCGCTGCACCATAGAGAGTATCTTAACTTACTGCACCTCTGTCTGGTTTGCCAATTGCACAGGGACAGATAGGAAAGCACTCCAGAGGGTTAACGTTATTGCCCAGAGGATCATTGGCTGCTTTCTCCCCTCTTTGGAAGAGCTTTAAAGCTCCTGCTGCCTTAAGAAAGTTCAAAACATTCTCAAAGATCCATCTCATCCTGGGTACCCCTTTTTTTGAACTATTACCATCTGGCAGACGGTACAGAATAATAATAAAAACAAGGACAAATAGGCTGAAAAACAGCTTTTATCCGAGGGCAGTAACTCTGTTGAATTCTGCTGTATAGTGCAATATTAACGCAATATCAGGGGTTTTCAATTCAATGTGTGGTGTGTGAAGGATGTGTGTTTGTGTTTATTTTCACGCTCATGATGTGCACTGAAGATGTTTGATTTCATAGTACAAGGTGCCATGACAATAAACTAAACTAAACTGCCTGTTGGGAATCCCATCACAGATACGGTCATGCGTGGTCAACTAGCTTCTGAGTGACCTTCAAACGGACGTGCCGCAGTTATTCTAGAGGTCACTTGAGAAATGCTACGGTTGGCGTGGTCCTTCCAGAAGGGTGAGGCCACCTTAAAGGTTGCCCTTGTTGTTTCTCTCCCAACAGGAAGATGCTGTCCAAGCAGAAGAACCCACCTGTCAGTAAGGTCATTGAATCTGGAATCATTCCTAAACTGGTGGAGTTCTTGCATTATCACGATACTCCCAACTTGCAGTTCGAGTCTGCCTGGGCACTCACCAACGTTGCTTCAGGAACCTCCGAGCAAACCAAAGCTGTGATAGATGCCAATGGTATTCAGGGCTTGGTTGACCTTTTGTCCTCTCCTCACATCCACATCTGTGAGCAGTCGGTGTGGGCACTCGGCAACATTGCCGGTAAGTTGTAGGGCTGGCTTGTTCTGAGGAATGCAAGTTACAAAATCATGGAAGCAGAGCAGGTTTATCTTGGCTTCTATTTATCGCTGGATTATGTTAGGAAATGGCCTTCCTATCTCTTTTTATCTTCTGTCCAATGGACTTTTATCATAGTGGAAAGGATGCAAGCGGCTTATTTGATACCACAACAATGTCCATCAGTTCTTCTGTAGGAACCCAGCTGTCACCTCTGCATGGAGATGGGTGAAAGCACCGTTGGATTGTTTCGCGCATTCCACACATGCAGCAATTGAATGACTCCAGTGTAATTGCAGTAACAGAGCAATTTTATTATTCCAATAAGGGTGTAAAATTAGTGTATGGCATGAAACCAGATGCTTCGTATTAAGCTAGCTAGCTTCACCCTGGAAGATGAAGGTTAGAAACCAGAATCTCTTCTAGATTAGCAGGTTCTGACCAATTTATCTGAGCTGATAGTAGAATAGAGTAGAGTAGAGTAGAGTAGAATAGAATAGAATAGAATAGAATAGAATAGAATAGAATAGAATAGAATAGAACAGAATAGAATCTATTAAGAGTAGAATATATTGAGAATATAATAGAATATAGAATAGAATATAGAATAGAATAGAAATAGAAATAAAATTAGAATAGAATAGAAAGTAGAATAGAATAGAATACTTTATTGGCCAATTGTGGTTGGACACACAAGGAATTTGTCTTGGTGCAAATTCTCTCAATATGTTCCAACATACAGTTAGTTCTTGAGTTATGACCACAATTGAGCTCCAAATTTAGGTTGCTGAGTGAAGCATTTGTTAAGTGCTTTGGCTCCACTTTTCTTGCCCCCGTTGTTAAATGAATCATTGCATTCAGATGTTAAACAAATCTGGCTTCTCCATTGACGTGGCTTGTCAGAAGGTGGCAAAAGGGGATGACGTGACCCTGGGACTGTCATAAATATGAGCCAGTTGTGCCCAAGGATCTGAATTTTGATCCTGGGACCGTGAGGATGGTGCAATGGTCCTAAGCCACTTTTTTCAGTGCCGTTGTAACTTGGAACGGTTACTAAATGAACTGTTGTAAGAGTGACTACCTGGAGTTGTCGATTATTATTTTGGGGGGGGGTGTATGTGTGTGTGTAAAGTACAATTCTTTTTCCCATCCCTATTTTGTGTAGGAGATGGACCCATGTGCCGAGATACTTTGATCAGCTTCGGTGTAATCCCACCAATTCTGTCCCTGGTGATGCCTTCTACCCCGGTAGGTAGAAAGTCTCTTCCGTTGGGTTCCTCGGTTCTCTTGGTCTCACCTGGTGAGCTCTTTCGTGATCTTGGAAGGGGTTCCCTTTCTTGAATTTAAAAAAAATGGATTTGGAAACATGCCGATGTCACTGAGCCTCGGTGGCTCAGTACTCAGAGTGCAGTACTGCAGGCTACTTCTGCTGACTGCCAGCTGCCTGCAATTTGGCAGTTTGAATCTCACCTGGCTCAAGGTTGACTCAGCCTTCCATCCTTCTGAGGTGGGTAAAATGAGGACCCAGACTGTTGGGGAAAAAGGCTGACTCTGTAAACTGCTTAGAGAGGGCTGTAAAAGCACCATGAAGTGGAATATAAGTCTACTATTGCTTGGGAAGGAAGGAAGGAAGGAAGGAAGGAAGGAAGGAAGGAAGGAAGGAAGGAAGGAAGGAAGGAAGGAAGGAAGGAAGGCAGGCATAGTGATCTGTTACAATGCAGTGATGCAGGCTAACGCTGCCCACTGCCCGGAGTTTGATCCTGACCAGCTCAAGGTTGACTCAGCCTTTCCTCCTTCCGAGGTGGCAAAAATCAGGACCCAGATTTTGGGGGGCAAGAGGCTGACTCTGTAAATTGCTTAGAGAGGGCTGTCATCACTGTGAAGCAATATATAAATCTAAGGGCTATTGGTACTGCCTTTCCTTCCTTCCTTCCTTCCTTCCTCCCTCCCTCCCTCCCTCCCTCCCTTCCTTCCTTCCTTCCTTCCTGTTAGAATGGAGTATTGCAGGCTAATTCTGCTGACTGCCAGGAGTTCAATTCTCACCAGGCTCAAGGTTGACTCAGCCTGTCAGCTGTTCCTCCTCTCCCTCGGAGTCAGACTCCAACAGGGGGACGACAGCATGTCTATTATTATTATTTTTTGCTTGCTTGCTTTCAACCTAATGAGCGTCCTCTTAATTCCTTAGGTGGGCTTCCTGAGGACCATCACTTGGACCCTGTCCAATCTCTGCAGAAACAAAAAGCCCCACCCTCCCCTGGATGCTGTGAAGCAGGTGCTTCCCACCCTCACTTGCCTCCTGCAACACCCAGACAAGGACATTATCTCTGACACCTGTTGGGCGATGTGCTACCTGACCGATGGCTCCAACCATCGCATCCAGGTGGTGGTGGAGGCCGGGGTCCTCTCTCGGCTGGTAGAGCTCCTGTTCACCACCGAACTGTCCATTCTGGTAAGCAAAAGTGTTTTTTTTTGTGGGGGAACATTAGTGATGGACCTTCATGGCTGTCTTTGTTCTGACCAAGGCTTCCTAGACTGTAATAACGCACACACTTGTTTTTAAAACAAGTCTTGTTTTATTGCAATGCTGGGAATTGTTTTCATTCCCAGCCGGCAATGAATCTCAAACAGTCCCTTGAGATAAGCACTCACCTTTCTTTTCTGTGAAGTGCTGCCAATAACAGAAGTGTCAAATGAACTAGAAAAAAACCCAACCAAAATACAAAGAACTTCAAGAATGAATCTGAACCGAACGAGCGACTTTGCTTCCTGCAAAGGTTTCATCACCTTGGCCTGTCCTTTATACCTTATGGGAGGGGCAATGACACCACAACAGTCTTCTCTTTCTCTTGGAGGAGATCTTTGTAGACCTCAGTGCTATAGCCAATGTCACTCTGGTAAGAAAGAGTGATTTCTTGAAGGACAATGCTAGACTAGTGAGGTATCATCCCCTAGCGAAGATCTATTCAAACATAAGATGAATGGTTGCAGGAACTGGGCAGGGCTAGTCTAGTGAAGAGAAGGACCAGGGGAGACAGGAGAACATCTTCCACTATTTGAGGAGCTGCCACAGAGAGGAGGAAGGGGGTCAAGCTATTTTCTAGAGCGCCTGTAGGCCAGACAAGGAATAATGGATGGAAACTGAAGAAAGAGAGATTCAACCTAGAAAGAAGGAGAAATTTTCTGACAGTGAGAACAATCAACCAATGGAACAGAAATTATCTTTGGAAGTTGTGGGAGCTTCATCGCTGGAGGCTTTCAAGAAGAGACTGGCTGCCATCTGACAGAAATGGTGTAGGGTCTTTTGCTTGGGTGGAGGGTTGGACTAGCAAAGCTGGCTGAGCAATTCTGGGAATTGAAGTCCACAAGCCTTAAAGTTGCCAAGGTTGGAGACCCCTGGGCTAGAGGACTTACAAGGTCCCTTCCAACTCTGTTAATCTATAAATTTGTAAGCGTTTCTTTTGTGGGAATCTTAGTGATGGACCTCTGTGGTCATCTTATCTTCCTCTTTGGTGGACATCTTTGTAGACCCCAGCTCTGCGTGCTCTAGGCAACGTGATTGCCGGGACAGACGAACAGACCCAGATGGTCATCGATGCAGGGATCCTCTCTGTCCTGCCACAGCTCCTGCTTCATCCCAAGGCATCGGTCCAGAAGGAGGCCGCATGGGCTTTGAGCAATATTGCTGCTGGGCCGTGCAGCCAAATCCAGCAGCTGATCACCTGCGGGCTCCTTCCTCCTCTGGTGGAGTTGCTAGACAAGGTACCATGTTCCTATGCACCCATAGGAAACAAACTCTGAGGCACTCAAGTTCCTCAAAGAACAGTTTATCGCCATGATGGCAAACCTGTGGCATGCGTTTTGTCTGGGCACGCGAGCCCCAGGCAAACTTACCTCACTGCGAATCCATGCTCCTCCCAGCTGATTTTCGGGCCTTTTTCGGCCTCCCAGAGGCTCGAGGGAAGCCTCTGCAGCCTTTGGAAGCCGAAAAACAGGCCCGTTTCGTCACTTCCTGTATTTTCAGAAATACCGGAAGTGATGAAACGGGCCCATTTTTCGGCTTCCAAAGGCTGCAGAGGCTTCCCTCGAGCCTCTGGGAGGCCGAAAAAGGCCTCAAGCAGGCCAAAAATCAGCTGGGAGGCGCACAGTGCAGGTAAGGGGGCAGCGTGGGGGGGGGATCGCGCACATGCGCAGGGGGCATGGGGGGGCGTGCATTGCCTTCTGGGTGTTGGCATGCTAGCATGCACGCACACTTTTTGGCACAGGAACCCAAAAAGGTTAGCCACCACTGGTTTATTGGATGCATCATATTGGCACAATCTGGTGGAAAGCCAACTCTGAGGTTTCCCTTGTTTACTTTCACCTAATTAAAAGTAAAAGTTTTTCCTTTCTCCCCAAGTTACTGGCTGTTCCCGTGGTTTTCACCTCATTCAAAGTTTTTCCCCTTTCCCCAAACAATCAGTCACGTGTTCTAATCAAGGTGCCGTCCAGTTGCCTGGTAACATCGCTCCTCCTCTCTCCGGCCACCTGTGGGTATGTCCTTGGTTCCCAGGGGAAAGTGTTTATTTTGGCTCCAAAGCCCCAGCTATCTCTCTTTCCCCCTCCCTATCCCTCACCTCCAGCGTGGCAACACTGAAGCGTCAAAATGGCTTCCTTTCTTTTCTTTTTTTTAATAGTTATTTTATTGAACATAACATTTAAAAACAGTGAACGTGGTGAAGCCATTTTGATATAACTTTTGGTCAATATCACATAAACGTATGCATTCCTATATACCTATGTACATTTATTCATTCATATATCACATTCTCCAAAATCTTTGATCCTATTTTCATCCCATACTCTCATGTACACTCTCCACAAGTCTTTTACAACTTAAGACCTTCCTTTCCGCCCCCACCAGTGGTAAAATCTATCCCAAACTGCGTAATATTCCAGCGTGTCTTTATTTTTCATCTCTAAAGTTAGCTTGTCCGTTTCAGGTCAGCTTCATGTCTTAAGGTTCTGTACTTCTTTGCCCCATGTAGGGAGACTACAAAGCCCAAAAGGAAGGCGTTTGGGCTGTGGCCAATTTCACAATGGGTGGCACAGTGCAGCAAGTGGTGTCGATGATCCGGGCTGGGGTCATGAAACCTCTGCTTAACCTGTTGTCCGCCAAGGATAGTAACACCATCCTTGTGATCTTGGAGAGTCTCAGCAACTTCTTCCGGGTAAGGTTAAAGAAGAAATCTGTACATCAAACCGAGCTGGAATGATAGAGAATTTGGATTTATCGTGACCTGTTCTGTCGATTCACTTAGGTTTCTCCTTGTAGGAATTGGATAGGGCCAGTCTAGAGAAAAGAAAGACTAGAGGGGACATGCTAGCAGTCTTCCAGTATTTGAGGGGATGCAGCAAAGAAGAGGAAGGGGTCAACTTATTTTCCAAAGCACCAGAAGGCACGATAAGAAACAATGGATGGAAACTAACCGAGGAGGGAAGCAACCTGGAATTAAGGAGAAACTTCTTAACAGTGAGGACAATTAACCAATGGAACCAGTTCAGAAGTTGTGGGTCCTCCATAACTGGTTTTTAAGAAATATTGGACAGCCACTTGTCTGAAATGGTATAGGGTCTCCTGCTTGAGTCGAGGGCTGGACTAGTAGACCTCCGATGTCCCTTCCAGCTCTGTTCTGATTCCTGCTAGAAATTGACTTGGAATGTGTCCATTCAGGCTTGTTTAGAATGTGGCTTAGGGAGGATCTATTCTTTTGGCTCCAGCTTGGTGGGCCTTGGGAAAGGAGGGAGAAATCGGAAAATCTAGTTTCTCCAAGATGCAAAACCTGAAGGCATTTTGGTATGTGATGAATCTGCTCTTCTAGATGGGAAGTGTGTGGAGACTTAGCTTTAAATATATGCTTGTTGCGTAAGCAAGGCCCTTTATCAAGCGTGAGAAATCAGGAAATCCAGCCAGTTCAAGTGACTATTAAGATCTATTGCAAGCTTAAGTTCTCTACAAGAATCTGAGCTACTAAGGGTCAAAGCAAATCGACGACAGATAAGAATGGAATTTAAAGTGGGCTGGACTTAGATCTCTTGTGGGTGTGAAGAAACTTGAGACTGCTGACATGTTTTGATCCCTCCCTCAGGTTCAATCTGGTCACCACCTACACCTTAGGTGACCTGGATCTCACCCTGTATAAAACCATGATGGGCTAACCCTGCCTAAGCCCGGTTTTGCCTTCAAAGCAAACCCTTCTTGGAGCAGTGGGTGGATTCAACCACTGTATCTTGTTTCATTCGCCGGGAAAACCATGGCTTTGTGCAACAGAGGAAGGCAGTGTTTGACCTCCTACTTGTGTTTCCTCTTTCCATACCAGATAGCTGAGAAGTTGGGTGAGACAGAAAAATTGGGCCTTCTAGTTGAGGAGCTGGAAGGCGTCGAGAAGATTGAAGCTCTCCAGACTCATGAGAATAACATAGTCTATCGCGCTGCCCTAACCCTCATTGAGAAATATTTTTCTGGAGAAGTAAGTGGACGCTGCCATCAAATTCCCAAGTTATTCCTGAAAAGCATAGCTTCAAAGGAGAACTAACAGTATCCTATCAGCTGGGAAATTCCTTCTCTACTCAAAGAACATCTGGAAACGACTAGCTTCTCTCCACATTTTTAACCTCATTGAGAACAATCCCTGATTAACTCCGTTGCGGAGATTTCAAAACTTTCCTGAGAGTTGTTTGGCTAGTTTGTGAATTGTCGTAAAACATTTGCAAAATAGCTGACATTGTTAACTTGGATTTAGCCTGTGATATGAACTTGGCCCCTGCTGTTTATTCAATAAACCATAGTTAAGCAAAGTGTTATTTGCATAATGGAAGGAACTGTGTCCTAAGAGACAAAGGCCTGATTCCCACTTTACACTAGTAAGTTCTGGTTTTGTTCAGTTTTGATTTTATATGTTGGACAAATGCAACTACAGTAGTTGTAGTTTGCTCCACAAAGGAAAAGTAAAGCAATACTTGGCACAATCTCCAAATTTGACCTGTGAAAAGTTGCTTCTGGTGTTAGAATAGAATAGAATTCTTTATTGGCCAAGTGTGATTGGACACAAAAAGAATTTGTCTCTGGTGCATAAGCTCTCAGTGTACATACAAGCCACAAGTGATAAATCCTGATTATAATCATAAAACACAATAATCATAAATCCTATTTCTGGGAGGGATGCTATGGATTGAAGAGTTCCCCATAAACTTTCATCCAATTATAATGCTTGGAATTTTGGGGATGGAGGCATGTGAGTTAAAGTAACAGGTTTGAAAAGTCTGCATGGAAAATGCTGAAATATTTTTTTCTCTTCTCTTTCTCCCATCGATATTAGGAAGTTGAAGACAAAAACCCTGAAAATGAAGAGAAGAAAAGTCTGCCTTTTGCTGATGAACAGCAGGATTGTTTCAATTTTTGAAAGAGCTTAGCTTGTTGCATGCCTTCAAACATGCTGATAGATGGTCTTTTTGGGTGAGCACTAAGAGGGAAGGATGAAAAAAAGGGTTAACACATTGTTATAATAAATCACTCTCCTGGCTTTGTAGAAATTGTATCTGGAGGATGTCTCTTCCTTTCTTCTCCTTGCTGTCAAAACAATAACATCTAGAGCAGGGGTCTTCAAATTTGACAGCTTCAAGACTTGTGGACTTCAACTCCCAGAATTCCTCCTCCTGTCATGTTAGCTCAGGAATTCTGGGAGTTGAAGTTCACAGGTCTTAAGCTTGCCAAGTTTGAAGACCCTTGATCTAGAGCAAACTTCTTCAGCTGGCCTTGTAAGACACATCCAGACGTTATGCCAGAGTTTCTCAAACCTTGGCAACTTTGAGATCTGTGGACTTCAACTCCCAGAATTCCCCAGCTAGCTGAGGAATTCTGGGAGTTGAAGTCTGCCCATCTTGACGACCAATTCCAGGTTCTGCCCCATTACACATGAGGAGAAACTAACAAAACAAGCATCATGAACTATAGCAGGATTTTATGTGGTGTGTGAATCTGGGAAGTCTTTGTAAATCACCACCTTTTTAAAAAGTTGCCTAGAACAGCCTCTGCCATCATGGCCTCTTTTTGATCTTAAAGACAGGTTGAAACAGAGATGGGAAGAGGATTTTAAAAAAAGAAAAATCTCCTTCAGGGCACTGTGTGGATTTCTTCGATAATTCAGGCATGCACCAAATCATCTTTCCTAAATGCCATCTGTTCCATTCTGTGGCTTGAGGCATGAGGTATATAATAAAGGTGTCTTGTGTTTAAGGTATTGCAAAGTTCCCGAACATGGATTGCTTCCAGGTGACGATCAGGGAAGCAGTATTTTTGCAATTGGGTGAACCCCACACTGTGGTGCTAAAACCCCATCACTTCCCTTGAGTTGAGGAACTGCAGAAAAAAATTAGGTTTATGCAGGACCTGCACGTTCTGTGCCTCTGAGTTGTACTGAAGTATAGAGGAGACTGTCCCAAAGGTGGTTTTTTTCAAGAGGCAACTGGACTTTCTGGTTTTTCTTTGAAGACGTTTCCCTTCTCATCCAAGAAGCTTCTTCAGCTCTGACTGGATGGTGGGGAACAGAAGGATTTATACTCCTTGCAGGCAGCTGGTCATTTGCATTCTTTTCGATAGATGTTAAGGCCACTTGCAGGTTTATCAGTGTCCTGAGGGTCACCTGAGTAGTGCAAATGGGTGTGGACTTTCTTGGACCTGCTGAAAGGCCTCTGTTGTGGAGCTGGGCTATACTCATTTGCACTACTTGGGTGACCCTAAGACACAGACAAACCTCGAAGTGGACTCAACGACCCTCTAAAAGAATGGAAATGACCAGCTGTTTTCAAGGAATATAAATCCCTCCATTCTCCACCATCTACTCAGAGCTGAAGAAGCTTTTTGAATGAGAACCGAAAGGTTTTCAAAGAAAAACCAGAAAGTCCAGTTGCCTCTTAAAAAAAGCATCTTTGGGGCAACCACGACTTGGATGATTGAGAATCTCCATAGATGTTCTATGTATTTCTACATGATGCTTTAATGTTCAGGTGCCTTTAATCATTTTTATCTGTCCCCACTGTAGCAAGACAAGGGTGGGGATCTTCAAGGAACTGTCACCATTCCCTGAGAGGTGTGGTGACACTTAGTCGGGGCTGTGTCTCATCTGTAATGTTAATTATTTCAGGGGATGGGAGGAGGACAGGCAAGGAATCGCCTGTTTTTATGGAGAAACGACTGCTGTCCTGATCAGTCTTCCAGAAAGCAGAGCTAGCAGGAAACCATTCCTTATAAAGCATTTGTGAATTCCTGCAAACTGATCTGGAATGATAGCTCTCCATGGGGAAAGAGGAAGCCAAGTCCCAAATTCACGCTCTCTTCAAGGGGAAGGCGCATATTAACCGTTTTAATCTAAGACTTTGTAGAGAAGCAAGAAGTGTTTGTTAGAAGGTTATTGGCCCAATCCGCTTTCTCTTCATAATTTTAATTTTGGCTGCAAATTCTTATTGCTAGTAAGAATTTTCCCCTTTCGATCAGCAAACAACAATATCCTCGGGATAGTATCTGTGGAGCTGCCCTCTGCCATCCTGACAAGTTTGTTATCCTGGTGCATAAATTGGGATTATGGTAATTTTTCCCCTGCTGAAGGTCTCTGTGAGACTCAAAACTTTGCTTTGTGAGATTTACAGTACATCTTGTTTTTGAGTCAGCGGTTCCACAAAATTACACTTCTGGTTTTTTAACTTCTTAATTTTCAACGTGAACTTTTTCCAATTTGTCCACTGAACTGCTTCATGATCATAAATCACAAGTCACTCTTGTTTTCAGATGGTGGTTGCAACCTGGTACCTGTTGCAAAGCAAATCAGCACCTCATCCATATATTGAGTAACATGCGGCTCTATGCTGGAGGACTTAGGTTGTTGTGTAAACACAACCAGGAGAGGGCCTGACAAGAATGAAGAGGGAAACCCAGCCAATTGTGATTTATTTCACAAACCACAGTTAACCCAAGCAGTCAGCCCAACTTCTGAACCAATCCCGGTGGGAAATGTGGGGTGGAAAAAAAGAGATACCGGTTACACAACTTCGCATCCTTCGCTTTTAAAAGAAAATTGACCATTTTCGGCCCTCGGATTTGTAAAAAGATGCTTTCCAGATTTATAACCCTGTATATGTACACACACACACACACACACACACACACACAGAGAGAGAGAGAGAGAGAGAATTAAAAACAGTTGTGCCTGAATCCTGCAATCTCAAGTCATTCATCTGTCCTGCTTCTCCTGATGGAACTATTATTTTATTTATTGTAATTTGTCAATTTGTATTTATTCATTGTATTTGTTTCCTTCCATGATCCAATCCTGCTTCCCGGATGCCACGGACCACACCTCCCATCATCCTGGGCCAGGAGGCTGATCCCAGGCATCTCCTCAGGTGTGGGCCACCTGTGACCTTCCAGAGAGAATCCGCCCACGATTGGCTCCTTTCCCCCCCCCCCCTCCAAAGGGCTGACGGGATTGGTAGTTTCACGGCCCCTGTCCTCTAGGCCGGGACACTCCGCCACGCCCCCGAGAGGGACACGAGCGACTCCTCCCTCCTCCCGCTATCTCTCTCTCGAAGGGTTATGATAAGGAGGAGGGACCTCCCCAAGATGGCCGCCGGGAAGCGCTCGCGACGCGCGTCCTTTGGAGTAACCGCGCGCCCGCGCCCGCGCCCGCGCGCGCGCCCGGGTGGGGAAAAAAAGTGGGCGGTGTCGGCCCTGTCGGGAAAGGCGGGCGGTTGGCTGGGAAGGGCGGCGCGAGCTCGCGCAGTCCTCGTTCGCGTCCGGCGGGGCGGGCGTCGAGCTCCGTGAGGCGGCGACGCCGCCGCCGCCGCTTCGTGAGGTGAACCGGAGCGCTCGAGTTCCGTATCGAAGATGACCGTTCTTCGTTTTTAAAAGGGAATAAGGCGAATTATTATTATTTTTGAAGAGGAGAGAAAAGAAAAGGGGAAGGAAGGAAGGAAAGGGAGAGGCTCGAGCCGGGATCGAGCAGGTCGGGCCTGACGGCGGCGGCAGCGGCGGCGGCGGCGGCCGAGGGAAGCGCGGATGGGGGCGGCCGTGGCCGGCGGCTGATCCCGCCTCCCGCCCTGCGTGTGGGGTCGGTCTGAGGGGAGCGATGTCGAACGCGGGCACCCGGAGGGCCGGCTCCAGCATCAAAGTCCGCCTCACAGGTACAGACGCCGGGGCGCCGCCGCCTCCCCCCTCCCGCCCCGGGCGACAACGGCCGGCGCCGTCCCGCTGGGCCGAGCTGGGGGAGCCGGCGCCTGGGATGCGCGGAGAGGGGGTTGCCTTTCCTGGAATTGCCTTCCTGAGGGCCAGCATCCCCGGCCTCGCCTCTGTCTGGGGTGATGGGATTCTGGAACAAGGAGTTTTTCTCCTCCTCTTCGTTCCTCTTCTTCTCCTTCTTCCTCTCCTCCTCCTCCCTCTCTTCTTCCCTCCTTTTTCTTTTTTTCCAATTCTCCTCTTCCTCTGTCCCACCTGCCCCTCTTCTTCCTTTTCTTCTTCTCTTCTTTCCTTCTTTCTCCTTCCCCTATTTCTTCTCCATTTCTTCTTCCCCATCTGTTTCCTCCCTTTTCTTCCTCTTTCCTCCCCCTTTTCCTCCCCTTCTTTCTTCCTCTCCTTTCCTCCTACTTTTCTTTCCTTTTGCCCACTTCTCCTTCTTTCCTTCCCTCTTTCTTTCCTCTCCAACCTTATTTGGATGGAGAGGCAAGTCTTCTCGGCTGTGGAGGAAGAGAAGGTTACAGTTGTCCTGCTGCTGGTTCTCCTTTCCTTCCCCCCTCAGGTGGGCTGAAGGGGTAGGAGGACAGGTGGGCCTCACCTTTCAAAGGGCTGTTCTGGCCAGGTAAAGGAAGACCTTATTTGGGCCTTGACATTCAAACATGGTGAGCAACACACCATGGCTAACAGTACTGAGACAGTTCCTGCTGTGGTGTATTGAGTGTCTCTCCCTTCTTTTTTTCCTTTTCCTAGGAAAATTGGTGTACGTGTGTGTGGAATCCTTCCTCGCATCTCCCCGATTTAGTGGAGAAATCCTGTCCCCTCTTTTCATTTTTTGCTCTGCTGTCTTGGCAAAAATGCCCCGCAGACATTTGAGTTCTGACTGCTTCGGCATTGCAGTGGAATTGGGGAAAGCTGGTTGGTCGTGGGTTTTTCCCCCCTGGCTGGTTGGAATTTAGGGGATCTTCTAAAGGAGGCAGAATCCTTCCTCCTGCAGCTCTTAGGGGTTGGAGACTTTCAAATCTATAAACCACATTAAAGATTTGACCCCCCCACACCTTTGGGTTGTTGAATAACTGGAATTTTCTGGATGCACCTTGTTTAAAACTATTTCAGAGGATTGTATTAAATACAACTGGATTTCTGAGTTAAAGCAGTGCTGTTTGTTAATATTTGACAGAATAAATTTCTCATGGGAACACAGATAGTCTATGTTTCTAAAAATTGGCCTGGCCAACCAGACTTTATGAGGCTTGACGGGAAGGATAGATTTTGTTCAAGACTTCTTGGAGAGGTGCCCTATGTAGTCTGTATTAAGGTGATTCTTAAAGCACACTTAGATTTTTCCATTGAGGATTCCTTCAAATGTGAGAAGGAAATTAGGTGCTTTCGAAAAAGGATAGTAGGGAGCCTCAGTGATCAATCCCTTGGGGTATGTGTTCATGGTTCTAAAACTCTGCCCTTGATTTTTTTAAAATGTGGAATATCTATTGCAATAAATGTAACTGGATGTCTTGACTAAGAAACCTGACAAATATACCTGTTCAGAAAGCTGAATGTGGAAACTTTTAGTCTGCATGTTAGCCATAATTTTACTGGATAGCTTTTGTCCTTCAGTGGCTTCTCTAATTCCCTCTCTCTCCCTGTGTTGTAACAGGAGGTTAATTACATTGATTTATGTTATAGAACTGGTATATTACTAATGTAAATGAAATACACATAGGACAGATGTTTCCTGGCCTATACCTTGTAGAATGGCACACTTTTCTATGGAGATAAAGTATGTGAACTGGCCTTTGGAATCTAGACAATGTTTAACTTCCTGTCTATTCCCCCCCCCCTCACACTTTTTTTTTGAATGAAATTCAGATACTACTAGGAATATTTGATAATTCCACTGAGAATTACTAACAAAAGCTTGACACAATTCTTTCGGGAAGCCACATGAATTGTAATTCAGCACCCCAGTGATTTTGGCTTGCCAAATATAATTCAGAAATCAACTTTCTTTTTATGTTTTGTGTGGATTCTGCTTGACAGTGTTTTCACTTCTCTCAAAAAATTAATACTTCCATTTACCAGGGTAAATGATAGGCCAAATGTTCAGCACCTGGCAACAATTAATTGCATTTTTCTGCCTTGCTCTCATTGAACTACAAATTAACTGTTGCATTTTTTAAATGGAAGTCTTGATTATTGAACTACTGTTGATATTCTGTCTTCCTGATTTTCATTAATTTAATTATTTCAATGTTTTTCAGAAGTTAAAAGGCATTTCAGATGCAAAAGGAATGAAACATTTAAAACTATACAGAAGTCATTATATTCTCATAGCAACTTGATGCTTTCTTCTTTTCTTACAAACATATATAATTGCTATAAAAATTGCCATATATGCCATAAATATTTCTTTTATTTAGGTCTGTCACTACTTAGCATTATAATAGTACTTTTAGGCATTTCCTGCAATTATTTCCAATATCCCCATTTAGTAGCAATTCTGTTGCTAACTGTTGCTTTCTTGTAAATGAAGAAGATACTATTAAAGTTGAAATTTCTCTAATGCTAAATAGCAAATTCATGATTGAAGCTTCTAAACTGGAGACTTCTCAACCTAACCATGATATTGCTTGGTCTTTGTGTGTGAGTGGTGAATTCTAGTCATGGAGGCTGCCTGGAAGAATCCTAGCAGTTTTCCTGGCAAAGTTTTTTGGAAGTGGTTTGCCATTGTCTACTTCTTAGGGTTGAGAGAGAGTGATTGGCTCAAGGACACCCGCTCTCGTCATGTGATTGGCTTCATACCTTAGGTGGAACTGAAACTCAAGGAGTCCCAGTTTCTAGCCTGATGCCTTAAATCATTCATTAAACTGGCTCTCTTTATTTTTTATCAAATTTGTATGCTGCCTGACTCTTAATGACCGGGCAGCCCACAATCAACAAAACAAGGAAATCATAATAAAACTGATTCAAGGAGATAAGTTTTAAATTATTAATTTTCATATTAAGTGACTTCTTTATTTTACCTAAAAATATTTTAGATACAGAATCGTTCTGAATGATAGAAAACTAATTTTAACTATCCAATCCCATTTATAATGGGTGAATAATCTAGTACCTTCAGTAGTTTTGCATGTCAATGTGTATTAGTCTACCAGCTTGGCCTAAGTTAAGTAGTCTTGGGCTAATTTGAAGTTGGCCATGGTAGAAACAACTTGTAAAATAAAATATAAAGCTAGACTTTTTTCAAAAAAACCCAGCAAGTAATATTTGTTAGAAAACAATTTTAATGCACATTATAACACACTTATAATAATAAAACTTGCCACCTCTCCCCCTCTCTGTGCGTGTGTGTGAAATCATGCATCAGACATTGTACATATAACTAAGATATATTGTCATAAAAATGAGGCTTGACCAAATTAATATTATAACAGAAGTGATACTTGAGAGTTTAGAATAACAAGGGAGTTAAGAATTTTACAGATTATCTAAGCTTTGTTTGAGTTGATACGATTGGTAGAAATGTAGAAAGCTACCATACTGTCTCAGACCATCATTTTATAAATTTTAGTATTGTCTTTTTTAATTCGTAAAAGTTGGCTATCCTAAGTCCTACTTTTCTTTATGTATAAGCCCTGATAAATAAATGAGTTGGAAATTATGAATCTTAGGTAATAATTAAGCTAGTAGTATTTTTAACTTGACAGCACTCCATGAAAATTATTTTTTATTATATAAGTATGGCTACAGAGGTAAGCTGGGACCTGGTGTGTGTAATCCTTTTGAAATAATCTTGACAAGCTTATTTAGCTTCATGTTTCTAGCTTACAATGATACTTGTTTAATTTTTAACATATCAGCTTTCTAACACCTGGCTTCAATTAAAGCTCTCTGCTCCATATTTTTTTTGCAAGGACATTCAGATTTTCATATCTTCTTATCCACTGTTACATGACATTTTGGAGGCTACTGTGTAATAGGTATAAGTGCAATAATTTGCTACCATAGACTGCAAAAATGTTGCCCTTCAATAGCAAACCTCACATATGTTTGTTAATAGTCAGATGATTTGATTGTTCGAGGCCCAACTGGTTTGTTTTTGAATGGTTTGAATGTTGCTTGTATTTTTGTTTGCAAGTCTCCAGATGTGGTTGAAGCGATTTGAAAGACTGCATCCATTGAGTATTGTATTGGTCAGGTGACTAATGTGGAAATTTGTTATGTGGGTATAACATGTGTCCAAATGCCATTTTATATTTCAGTTACTAGCATTGGGCAAATTAAAGTTGATTCCTCCTTTTCCTCAAGTATTTCTGTGAATTTAATTCCCTGTTTTGTGCTCTCTCTCTCTCTCTCCCTCCTTCCCTTTTCCTCCCTCCCTCTCTCTTAAACTTTTATTAAGTCAACTTCTATTCATGCCCTTGATGTAGATTTGAGGATATAACAAGAAAAAGGAAATTCAATAGAGCAGCAATATTTATTGCATTAGCAGAAGAGCACAGCTAAATACAGCCTGGTGAACAAAACAAACCATTGATCTGAGATGGTTGGATGAGTGAAATTATTTTTAAAAGCTCATCTTGGATGGTGAGTTTAATTAGCTGCAGAGGTATGGTGATGCACTATCCTGTAATAGCAAGAGAAACATGGTTTGAAAATGTGGTATAAGAAATCACCCTGTTTATTAACGCAAAGACAGTTCTTCTCCAGCCTCACATAAATTTGATTATAATGGAAGCTTCAAATTATAATAGGTCAGATTTTGAAATTAAGCTCATTGGAGCTGTATATTAAAAAGAAGATTGAAGAGATTATGCCCAGCATACTGACATCTGAGGGAGCAAAATGGCTCAGCAGTTAAGGACACCAAGCTAGTCAGAGAACTGACAGCCCAGGTTTGGGAACCAAGCTCCGTGAGACGGGGTGAGCTCCCATGCCTTGTCCTAGCTCCTGC